AGAAAATAAACCCAAAGAGTGAATGGGTTAAGCGTGTCCCAACATACCAAGTTGAACTACTCAAGCTCACATAAGTCGTATCAGTTGAGACCATATATTTAATATGACTTTTGCAAAGTATGACTTATGTCAAACCTAACCGTCCATCGGTAGATCTGGCTGGACCATATTAAATCCTACCGCTCAGCCCTCGTCTCCGCTAAATCGTTGTTCCACTCCAAGACAATCTTGGAGGTTAAGGACAACCCCAGGCTCCTCTTCTCCATCACAAACTGGCTCCTCCGCCCACCCTCTCACTACCCGCCCATCCTCACCTCAACTGCCAACTGCGAGGCGATGCTGGACTTCCTTGAATTCAAAGTCGAGGGAATCCGCTCAGTTGCCTCTGCCACTGCATCTGCTACCCCCTCCCCATCTCCCCTCCCACCCCGGCCCCTACCCATCCCTCCCTCCACACCTTTGAACCCGTCTCCCCCTCCTCTCTCATCATCACGATAACCCGTATGAAACAGACCACTTGCTCCCTCGATCCCATCCCTACCCCTCTCCTTACCTCCCAGCTCCACTTCCTTGCCCCTTTACTCACTGACATCATAAACCTCTCCCTGTCCTCTGCTACTGTTCCCACCCCATTAAAAACCTCTGTCTCTTGTCTGGTTCAGATCGTACCTCACACCACCTGCACTTCATCTCCACAAACGGCTTCTCCTCTAGCCCCCGCACTGTCTTGTGCGGCGTTCCTCAGGGCTCTGTCCTTGGTTCCCCCTTCTCTTCAATATCTATATTCTCCCTCTTGGTGACATCATCCACAGACATGGGCTCAACTTCCACGTGTATGCAGATGACACCCAACTCTACCTCTCTGCCTTCACCCTCGACTCCAGGACCAGCTCTGTCCTGACTGAATGTCTGTCAGACATCAAGTCTTGGATGAGAGCTAACTTTCTCCAGTTGAACACCAACAAGACGGAGGCACTGCTGATTGGTTCCCCTCCTCACTTCAGGCACTGACAGCATCACAATCCATGGATGCACACTCCACCTCACTGAGGCAGTCCAGAACCTCAGGGTCTTGTTTGACTCTCAACTATCCTTTCTATCCCACATCTATGACATGACCTGCTCTGCCTTCCCCCACCTCTGCAATGTTGCCCGGCTCCGCCACTGTCTCACACTGCAGGCCACTGAAACCCTCATACACGCTTTCATTACATTAAGGCTCGACTATGCAAACGCATTGCTTGTCGGCCTCCGTAGCTCCTCCCTCCACAAGCTGCAGATCATCCAGAGATCTGCAGCCGTGTCCTTTCCCGCACTAGGCTCCGCGACCCTATCACCCCCATCATTACCCAACTCCAATGGCTTTCCATCACACAGAGGATACAGTTAAGATCCTGGTCCTCACCTTCAAAGCCCTCCATGGCCTTGCTCCCTCCTACCTCTGCGACCTCCTAACCTTCTACCATCCTGCTCGCTCCCTCTGCTCAGTGGGCTCCGGCCTGCTTCACATCCCCCGCCTCGCTTACCCCACTATTGGTGAGCAGGCCTTCCGCCACTCTGCCCCCACCCTCTGGAACTCCATCCTGCTGTTCCTCCGCCTCACCCCCTCCCTTGCCACCTTCAAGACCCATCTAAAGACCCTCCTCTTTGACCATGCTTTTGATCTCCCCGCTTCCCCCCTGCCCTTCACCCTTCCTGACCCCTTATCCCCAGCAATGGTCCGTAACTCTGTCTGTCCAGCGCCTTGGGACAACCTCCCAACACGAAAGGTGCTTTACAAATGTAATTTTGTTGTTGTTGTATGTCAAAATTGCATAGAATATAAACTCTTGAACAGGACTTGGGTAGATGTATGACTTAGGTGATTATACGATTTATACAGACCAGACTTGTGCGAGTTTTGCAGTACACACGTCTTCAGACTGAAACTTTACCATTTAATTGCATACAGGGAAATACCAATTTATACCTTTCTTGCAATACTGAGTTTCTGCGATGATTTCATTAAAAGCACAATGTCAAAGCTCTTCTGAAAGTTCTAATACTGCGCTGTCAGCTTTCAGATTTCCAGCAAAAAGTTCAACAGGAAACACTGAGGATGTCATGTCCTGGCTGCTTTACATAATAACATGCTAAGTAATTGTTCACACTGATGGCAACAGATTGTTTCTCACAGCTACAATAGTTGCATTTCTTTGCTTTCTATAAACATTTTGTTCCAACATGATTTCATCTTCCCACATTATACCATTTGGCTATTCTGTCTAAACCTTAGCATGAAGCTATGACCATCCTAATCGCAAGTTCCAAACCAGTTGGTATATAAGCAGCCAGGACTCAAATTCTCAATGTTTACTGCTATCAACGTTCTTGGTACAAGAAAATAGTCAACATTACAATTTACTGTTGGTTTCTCAGGACATCTGCAAAATAGACTTTATATTTTGACTGATGACTGATTCACAATCTGCATCAATTTCTACAGACGAAATAATGAGGATAATGATACCTCTCATGAGCCTATAATGCAATCAAGATTTATTTTTACAATAAACTGAATCAGGTTTATGATCGTGAACCCAATCCTAAAATAAGGTTAGTATTATAAATTGATGGAGAGATATCTATCATTCATATTGTGTAGTGAACATTCTTCATAATGCATTCTCTTAGCATTGTGGTGGCACACTGAAAATACCACTTATTTTGCTCAGCATCTGACTCGCATGGAAACTCATCACTATGTTGAGGAGTATCCAAAGGAAACTTCTAAGCATTTGACATACATGGTACTTTCCTGGTATAGAATGTGTGATAGGACGCATCCTGCTTACCTCATCTCTTAAGGTTTATGTGTAGGTTGACAAGAACTAAGGCTTGAAAACCCAGAAGTGCATATTGTGGTATTGAAAATAGAAGCATAAAAATCTACAGAGCAGAAGAAGATCATTTAGCCCATCATGTCCAGTTCACAGAAAAACAAGATCAATTCAATCCCACCACCTCGGCTTATCCCCATACCTCAAGACCCTCTCTTTCATATGCCTGTGTACTTCCATCTTGTACAATGGACTCCACCAACCTACTCGACTGGACATTCTACATCCTAACAACTCTCTGAGTGAAAAAATTCCTTCAAAGTGCTCCTTTCACTATTGGTATGTTTATCTTATAACTATACCCCCAAATCTCTCCCATCAGGTCCCCCCTCAACATTCTCAGGTTGAATGAAAACAGATCCAGCTTCTCCAATCTCTCCTCATAACTGTCGTCCTTCATCCCCAGAATCATTCTCGAAAACCTCTGCAGCACCCACACTAAGGCTTTAACATCTTTCCTGAAGTATTGCTGGAGTTTAAACAACATCAACAGCTTTATGCTTTAACAAGCTAAAACAGCTTAGCTTGCCATCTTGAATAGTGCAAAACTTCCCAATGCCAACCGGAACTTCCACGTATAATCTAATTGCCATTTTCTAATAGAACTTGATTTGATGTTCAGATATTGGAAATAACCCCATTGCTTCCCTTTATACTTTCTAGTACAATTGTGTACAAATAAATAGTCTATATCCAGCAAAAACACAATTCCATAATTATCTTCCTTTAAGAACAGGAAAACTCAACAAAAACACTTTCTGAACAAATGAGAAGAATAATATATTTCTTGGAATACGTCTGCCCATCCAAGTCCTATTGGTTAGCCCACAGGTTGGTCAATTGTAATCCTGGACTCTAAAAGATGATAATCACAATCTGGATTTGTACCAGGTGCATGATATCAACATTACCCAAGAATTTTGGTTGCCACAAATTGAATGTCTGGAAGAGGTTAAACAATGAAGCTGAAATCCAGTAAATGAAAAATCTTTGCATATAATTTCCAATATCGTGAGATCACAATTATACAGTCAATTCACTTTACAGTCTATTCTGTGAAGCGCTTTGAGACATCTAGAAGACGTGAAAAAGTGCTATATTAAATGCAAGGATTAGTATTATTATTATCACTTCCTACAGGAGGGAGATGGCAATCACAGACAAGTGAAATAATAATGATGTGGACACAAAAATAGGAACCTTGTGAAGCTGAGTCACCGGCAAAGACTCACATAACGACTCTTTACTTAATGGTTTCGGCAGAGATCTTTGTACTACATCAAAGGGTGGTCCAGGTTCTGAATGCAACTTAGAGGACAGAGGTAAGCACGATCCACTGTTACAAGGATGAGCTACAAGGTTCAACTTACTTTGTGATGTCTTGCAGGCTGTCATCTTCCTGGAACCATAGTTCCACTTGAGACTTCCGTTACAAATGAACATTGTCTTTTGTCTCTTCCTTGTCCTGGTCGGCCTATGCCTAATTGCTTTCTTTCCCTTAGCCCACAGTTTTATGCATCCCCAAAGCATACAACTGAACCAATTCCATACACTGTCAGATCTGTGTTTATTCTTGATGTTTTCTTTTTAAAATCTGTGTGAGCCTTAGCAGTAAGTCAACTCTTCAGTTTTGCTTTCATTCTTGAGAGTCTAACAGTGGTTGCAGTGATGTCACTTCCAAGAAATCAGAATACTGCAAACCACTCTTTTGTTTTGTTCAATCTTTGCTAACACTCATCAATAATTACCTCATTTAAATTTCCTGACCCTTGTTGTAAACCTCTTTGAGTGAATCAGTACAGGTCCCAGAAGCTTAATCGGAACTGACACCATTGTATTAAATTAATTTGCATTACTAAGGTCAGTGCTGAAAGTAAAACTATGCAAATAGAATATTATTTGTGCTCTTTCCCTTTAAGTTCCACACACAACTTTAAAAAGCAATGTGAGCTTTCTGCATTTCTGAATTTTTGAGCATAATAGGTTAAAATGCAAATAAAAGTCACTGAATGTTTAATGTGAATGCAATACTGATTCCTCACACCAAAGTTAAGTTCTATCCTAGAGGTATTATGTTCAATGCTGATGGCAGAATTAACCACAAAGAAAGCTACCACATACCTGCACAAAATATTCCTGGCACTTCACTGCGAAGTATAACTGTTCGGACATTTTTGTCACATTTCACTGCTTCTATAGCTTCTGTGATCTAAATACAGTGGAAGGAAAAAAATGACAATATTAAAGGTTTCTTAGTGACAAAGTCACAAGTAAATATTGTATGAATTCATAATAATAACTGTAAATTACCATTTCCACAAGCTTCTTACTGATTGCATTTTTTGACTGTGGTCTGTTGATTCCAAATACAACAATTCCTGTTAATGAAATAAAGCGAAAGTTACAATTTTATATCAGAATTCAAAAAATGCCCTGGACTTTCTAATGAAATTCAGGAACACGAGAAGATATACTATTTGTTACACTGTAACTTTTACAGACCGAACCCAACAAACCAGTAAAAACAAAAAGATATAGGTATGAAATGAACTCTCTCTCCCTGCCAGTCCAATCCCCCTCCTTGCATTTGATATAGCGCTTTTCACATCTTCGAGACGTCTCAAAGCGCTTCACAGAGTACACTGTAAAGTCAATTGACTGCATTATTGTGGGCGAATCCAATGTTTTACAGCCCAACTCTCGTCACAAATCTGACTAAACTCACACCCACAAGAACCAAAGTACTAATCAATAGACAATCCTGCAAACAGAAGGCAGTCCTAAAAGATTGTCATCATGTTATTGTTTGCATAATAATCACTTATTAATCACATATTTTTAAAGTGTGATTTTGACATCCCACCTCAGCAGTTATATCAACGTAATAAATAGGTGATAGATAGGTTTTTAGATATTCAGTGCTTTATTTCTCTCAGAACTCACTGCTTGGACATCTCAACTCCAATATCTAGTTAAAAAAAATAAATGACTTGTGAGTAGTGGTTTACTGGAACATAACCACCTCATGATATCCGAACCACATAAACCACTCAACCCTTAGGTTCATGAGCTGTGCAGTTCCAATGTCAGGCTGTGGTTTATCTTCCAGTAAGATATTGCAGTCATATTTGGCCGACCAATTATTAAACTGAAATGAGTCTGAATAATATCAATACTATTAGTTGGTTGGTGAAAGCAATCTAGGATTACAATTATTGAAATACAATTGCATTTTGAAATGTAACGCCGCTATACAATAGGTGCATGGTCAGGGTGAGGGGAGGGAAGGGAGGAAGCGAGGAGGGGGTAGAGAGTCGAGAGGGGAGCTGAAGGCTCGGTCAAAGAGAAAGGTCTTGAGACCGGCCTTGAAGGAGGAAAGGGAGGAGGCGGCGAAGGCACTGGGGGATGGAGTTCCAGAGCCTAGGGGCGGCGGATGTGGAGCAGACCAGAGCCAGAGGAACGGAGGGTACGGGCAGGTAAGTAGGGGGATAGTAGGTTGGAGAAAAAATGAGGAACTATGGACTAATTAGGCTGACATTGGTGGTAGAGAAAATTCTGAGTCTATAATTAGGGACGTCGTTATGGGGCACTTAGAAAGTCATAACATGATTAGGCAAAGTCAACACAGCTTTATGAAAGGAAAATTGTGTTTAACAAATCTTTTCGAGTTTTTTGAAGATGTAACTAGCAGATTAGATAGTGTACTGGGATTTTCAGAAGGCATTCAACAAGGTGTCACAAAGGTTGTTACATAGATTAGGGCTCATGGAATTAATAATAATAATAATCCTTGCATTAATTAGCATGGATCGAAGAGTGGTTAACAGGCAGAAAACAGAGGGTAGGGATAAACAGGTCCTTCTCAGATTGGCAGGTTGTTACCAGTGGAGTGCCATAAAGATCAGTGCTTGGGCTTCAACTGTTTACAGTCTACATCAATGATACTTAGAGCTTAATGTATCTAAATTCGCGGATGATGCAAAGCTAGGTGGGAAAGTAAGCTGTGAGGAGGACACAAGGCTGATGCAAAGGGACATAGGCAGGTTAAGTGAGCGGACAAGAAGGTGGCAGATGGAGTATAATGTGGGGAAGTGTGAAGTTATTTACCTAGGTAGAAAAAATAGAAAAGCAGATTATTTTCTAGAGGGGGAGAGACTAGATAGTGTTAGTATTCAGAGGGATTTAGGTGTCTTTGTACACCAATCACAGAAAGTTAGTGTGCAGGTACAGCAAGGAATTAGAAAGGCTAATAGCATGTTACCATTTATTGCAAAGGGGTTAGAGTACAAGAGTAGTGAAGTCTTGCTGCAAGTGTTTAGGGCCTTGGTGAGACTGCACCTAGAAAATTGTGTGTAGTTTTGGTCTCCTTATCTAAGAAAGGATATATTCACTGAGAGGGGGTGCAGCGTAGATTCACTAGGTTGGTTCCTGGGATGAGGGGGTTGACCTATGAGTATAGGCTGAATAAAACTAGGCCTATACTCTCTAGAATATAGAAGAATTAGAGGTGATCTTATAGAAATCTATAAGATTGTTAAGGGTCTTGACAGGGTAGATAGTGTGAGACTGTTTCCTCTGGTTGGAGAATCTAAAACTAGGGGTCATTGTCTCAAGATTAAGGGTCAGCCTTTTCGAACTGAGTTGAGAAAACATTTCTTCACTCAGAGGGTAGTGAATTTATGGAATTTTCTACCCCAGAAGGCTGTGGATGCTCAGTCCTTGAACATATTCAAGATTGAGATCGATAGATTTCTAAAAACTAAAAGGATTACAGGATATGGGGATAGGGCAAGTAAATGAAATTAGGTTAGAAGATCAGCCATGATCTTATTAAATGGCGGGGCAGGCTCGAGAGGCCAAATGGCCTACTCCTGCTGCTATTTCTTATGTTCTTATGAAAGGAGTTTGTGGCCACATTCTGGAGTGGCTCAATAGGTTAACATGATGCAATTTTAACAAAATAATTTTTCCACAAGTACATTTTAAACAGCAGATGTCCATAACTTGGGAGACAAGTGTGAACAGTTTATTAATCATACAATAAAGAGTAACAGACCACATTACATTAAAATGTCTAGTAGTTGCTATTAATTCTTCATCATAAATTTTCTGCAAACACTTTACATCAAAACTGAATATGTCTTCTGGGAAGGATTAGTTTTTTGAAAAATTAGCAAATTACTGGCCTCATGAAGCAGTTTGAAACATTAAACTCAACTCCTTTTATACCTGTTGCAAAGTGTTCCATAACATATTGTTGCCATGCTTGTATAGGGCAATCCCATTATAATGTAGTCCATGTCAAATATTTCAGAAGCTACATTACAACAAAACAAAGGTCGCCTTCCAGATCATCGGGTCGCCACTGATGTCACTTTCTGCATGCTAAGCACAAGGAGCGCAACTGACTTCCTTCACATGGTGATATTAGACATCTTCTGATCATAGCGCAGGAAGTGATATGAGCAACAACCTGAAAGTCAGCCATTTTTTAGCATGAGAAGCTATGTGATCTGCGCTCCTGGTATAGCATGGTAGACTCGCACCCTAAGCAAAGGTGTGATCAGCTGAGGCACATTCAAATTTGGCCACCTTTATTTACAATAAAACATCCCTAACAGCAGACAGTTACTTTGTTGCAGTAATGTAATGTTATGATGCATTTTGTGATTTTTTTTAAAAGAACATCTGAGTAAGTCTCATTGGCAAAATTTCTGACAGCCTCCTGTTTGTGGCTTAAGATGACCAATTTTTATCAGGTAAGCTTGGCTGTATTTAAATTTGAAATATTAACTAATAGGAAACATACTATTATTAAAGATACATACATGTGATTGAACTGTTCATTATACCTGTTCGTTCTGGCTGTGGAACATTGCTGTGCATAACAGGTTGACTGTGTATTTTGTGGGCTGTTTCACCCACAAAATATGGTCATTCCACTTTACAGTATTATCTGTGAACCATTTTGAGATGTCTCAATGATTTGATAAGGCATTATATCAAATGTAAGGATTTTTATCATTGATTATTTATAACAATGACTATCAAGAATAAGATAACATTGGAATTATTTATGGTCACATAAAACTTATATTTTTGGTAGGGTATACTTATAGTAATAATAATAATCCTTGCATTTGGTATAGCGCCTTTAATGTCAGGAGAATATCTCAAAGCCCTTCATAGGATATACTATAAAGTGGAGTGACTGTATTTTGTGAGTGAAAAGTGGCAAGAGTGACCAATTTTATTTGGGGGATTAATGGCCAGGATGCCAGGAGAGAGAAACTCCCTTCTTTTTTCAAATTGTACCATGGGATTTTTAATGTCCACCTGAACAACAGATGGAACCTCAGTTTATTCCTCATCCATAAAATGGTATGTCTGACAATACAACACACCCGCAGCACTGCATTAGTGTCAGCTTGGACTGTATGAGTTCAAGTCGTGACCAGACCATTATACTTAGAATGGATTACCTACATCAATGACTGTCTCTGTGGGAGACGGCAGAGCGAGTCTTAGAAATGTGAGCTGTGTAACAGGAAAGTGAAACCTAACCACATTTTGAGTGCTTGTTCTCATTGCCCTGTAACATGGCTTGTATACCTTAAAATACAATAGGTGCATGGGAGGTTTTAAGGTCTTGTGGTGTTCCATCAATAATTTGAGATTCACTAATAATAATAATTCTCGTATTTCATGCAACACGTATAAAATCTAAATGTTTCAAAACACTTTACAGGAAATTACCATTGAATGCAGTGGCTAGGTACTTGCAGTGCAAAAGCAGCAGCGAATTTTTGCACACAGCCAGGTCCCACCAATAATAATTTTTGTATTGATATAGAAGCTGATCACATCATCGAGACATCTCAAAGCATTTCACCGGGTATACTGTGAAGTGGACTGACTGTGTATTTGGTGGGAGAAATAACTTTTGTTGGAAGCTGGGTATCTGACACATGCGCAAACAATATTAAAAAAATTGCATTTATATAGCACTTTTCACAATTGAGGGAGGGGGGGAACGACAGTCGAGGATTTGCACCTGAGCTGGAGTTGGATCAGGGGTGGGAGGAAGATGACTGAAGGTGCGTTCAAAGAGGTTTTGAGAAGTAAACCATGTTTAAGATAAATTACCTTGAAATAAGTGACCAATTCATCCAGAAAATTTTTAGCCAGGCCACCGCAAGAAACTACCATTTTGTACATTATCATGGGATTTTAAATGATAATAATAAATAATAATCCTTGCATTTGGTATAATACCTTTGACATTAGGAGGATGTCTCAAAGCACTTCGCGGGATAATATTTAAAGTGGAGTGCGTGTTCTGTGGGTGAACACACCAGCCAGTTTCCCACACTGCAATATCCCACAAACAGCCACGAAGTGAATGAACAATTGTATTTGAAGGATTGGTGGCCAGGACTCTGGGAGAGAGAAACTGTCTTCTCTTTTCAAATAATGCCATGGGATCTTTAATGCCCCCCTGTAAAAGGCAGACAGAGCCTGGGTTTAATGTCTCATCCAAAAGATGGAACATTGGACCACGCAACACACCCCAGCATTTCACTGCATACAGATGTGTGCATTTCTCCCACACACAAAAAATATATATAAAAGAAAACTTCAAGATTGGTCAAGGGGCTGCCTGCTGTGGTTGCCCCGGGGCTGCTGTCATTTCCTTTGTGCCTGGGCCATCATCTCCTTCCTCCCTATCCCCTTCCCCTCAGGAGTCTGTGACCCTCTCCACTCCTCGGGGCCACTGTTACCTGCCCTCTCCCTCTCCTTTCCTCGTTCGGATTCTCAGGAGTCTGTTACCTGCGCTATCCTCGGCGTCTCAGTTAGTTGCCCTCTCCTCCCTCAAGAGCTGCTCCCTGCCCTCTCCGGCCCCGGCCCCGGGCCCTGGCCCCGGGCTCTCAGTGACCTGCTCTCAGGGGCTGTTACCTTTGCTCTCCTCCTCCTCCAGATACCGCACCTGCAGCTCCTGCCCAGGCCCTGCGGCCGCGGACCCTTCACTCAAACACCTGACCCAGGGCCCGGGGCCGAGACCCGCCATCCACGCCGGGCTGAACCCCGCCGTGACCCAGTGGCATCGAGCCGAGCGGCGGAGAGCGACCCGGACCCCGCGGCTCAACGGCCTGAGGCCACTCGCCAGGACAACCGCCATAGCAACAGCTGTGGCCGCCACACCTCCCGGCAGCCACCGCGATACCCGCCACACCTCCCGGCAGCCACCGCGCCGCGCCTCCCCTGGCAAAGAAGGGAGTGATGTGCAATCCCATTACATTGACACTTTGTTCCAATTGATACGAATGGTACGTCCTAATAATGTAGTAATAATATTACTTGCATTGGATATATAATAATAATATAATAATAATCCTTGCATTTGATATAGCGCTTTTCACGTCGGGAGGACGTCCCAAAGCGCTTCACAGAACACACTGTAAAGTGAATTGACTGTATATTTTGTGGGCGAAACACGGCGGCCAATTGCGCACAGCAATGTCCCACAAACAGTCGTAGATTGAAGTGACCAAATTATATTATTATTTTATGATAATAAATAGGAGGTGTAATAATGTACCTCCTATGTGCAAATTCTGGGTTATTGTTTTATTGTAATTCGCTGCCACATGGTTGCATTTAAATAAATAGATACATTAATAGGCATTTATTCAATTTGCTAAAATATGGCATTTGTTAATGGAATTCACTGTCACACATAACATATAGTATACATAATATATATACTGTGTATATATATACACTATAGGATAGAGAATTGTATTATTAGGGTGACTTCTGGTCATGCTTCTAGTTTGTAATTGTGCATGGTGTAATTCGCTAACACATTGTTACATTATAATGTATATATAGTAAGTCTGACATATTTTTAAGCAATACATCATTTTAGGTACATAATAGGAATTAGTAGAATATGATTTCTGGCTTTGAATTCATTGTTTGTAATGGAATTTGAACTTGTACTCGATAATTGTAGCCAGAGCCACTCAGTGGTTTATTCCCATAAATCACTAGTTCTTGCCTTTTAGTTCTTGTAATGTCTTGTTGTCTACGTGTTATGTTTCTCTGTTTACTGGCAACTCCAAAGTATTATGCTTTTGGATTGGCAACAGTGGGCTATTATGCTAAACTCATATCTACATTATTGCGATACATTGTGAACTGGTAACATATTTCTAAGATCATAGTTAGGATTATCATATATTGTCAAATTTGGCTGATATCTAATTGTTCTTACAATTATGCAAGCTTTTATTGAATCTGGTGGAACTCCAAGAACTGCTCTCCAATCTGTAGCAGTACACATATTTAATTTTATGGAGAAGCTATTCAGTATATAGCAATCTTATCTGACTGGCTTTATGGAGGAAGTGATTTACATTAAAAGAACACTCTCTTCCCCCACCCATAATATCCCTTTAGACCATAAGACCATAAGACGTAGGAGCAGGAGTAGGCCATTTGGCCCCTCGAGCTTGCCTCGCCATTTAATAAGATCATGGCTGATCTTGTAACCTAATTCCATTTACCCGCCCTATCCCCATATCCTTTAATCCCTCTATCCTTTAGAAATCTATTAACCTCAGTCTTGAACATGTTCAAGGACTGAGCATCCACAGTTTTCTCGGGTAGAGAATTCCACAAATTCACTCCCCTCTGAGTGAAGAAATGTTTCCTCAACTCAGTTCCTCAACCCTTAATCTTGAGACTATGACCCCTAGTTTTAGATTCTCCAACCAAGAGAAACAGTCTCACACTATCTAACCTGTCAAGACCCTTAAGAATCTTATAAGATTCTACAAGATCACCTCTAATTCTTCTATATTCTAGAGAATATAGGCCTAGTTTACTCAACCTATCCTCATAGGTCAACCCTCTCATCCCAGGAACCAACCTAGTGAATCTACGCTGCACCCCCTCTAAGGCGAGTATGTTTTTTATTTTTTAAATAAAAGTGACAAAGCTTCTTATCAACCCTAACTCATTTGCATTAAATGTATTCCACTATTAAATGTATTCCACTATTGCATTAAATGTATTCCACTATTAAGAGAAGCCAGCTGAGGGCTGAAGTTTGCTGACATCTTCATGATAACAGTTTGAATGAAGAAAGTCTTTTGGCCCATTTCATTTTATATTTCCAGAATACCCACCTACCATCAAGCTGTATTTTTTTTAAATGGGTCCAGTGTCTTGCCCTCAATTATCTTTCCTGCCAACTGTTCCCATTGTTAATTACCCTCTGTTTCAAGAACAGTATATTCTTAATCTGTTGCATAGAACTCAATTCGGATAGTCAGAAACACAATAGGATATATACTAAAACCTGACCGTTCAGACCAATAGGCGGGGATATCAGAACCATCATTGTTTGAACCTGCCAACAGAAGATAGTGCATAAATTATCTTTTCGTCACGGGATTCAAACAATCTGAGTCAAATTCGATATCCCTGGCATGGCAAAGGACAGTGAGGCTGCTCAATGCATGCTAGATAGTTGGCCACCAAGAGTCTACACGTGGCCCCTGGAAATGTTTTTGTTTGTTTCAGGCCTGATCCAGCTAGGTTGAAATTCCAGACCCCAGGAGGTCACTGAGAAGGGGGTATACTGTATTTTGCACACAAGATGTTTAAGATCCCATGACACTACTCGAAGAGAACAGAGTTTCTCTTGGTGTCTTGGACAACAATCCCTCAAATAAAATTAGTTATTCACTTCATAGTTGTGGGACATTGTTGTGAGCAAATTGCCTGCAGTATTTGACTACAAAATGCAGTCACTACATTTTACACTATATCCTGTGAAGCACTTTGAGACATTATCCCGACATGAAAATGTGCTATATCAAATGTAAGAATTATTATTATGTGAAAATGTATGTATGACAGTTACATTAATTATCTAGCAAACACAAAGATCTTACTATTGAGTAATATCTTCAGTATTTCTGGTAAAAGTAATTTGCTGATCATTAGTAAATTTACTAATCTTGGTAGGTCAATGTATTTTACACTGCATTAGTAAATGTGTACTGATCTTGGCAGTGTGATCTTATAATCTTATAATAATAAAATCCTATTATAATCTCAAACCACTACGAAGCTTGTCCTAGTAAATAAGATCATTTTGCCTTAACTTTTAATCTTGTGCAGAATTGTGGAACATTCCTCACTTCATTCTTAATGTGGAAACCAGTTCATTTTAAAGAAAACCAACTTCTAAATTAAGACTGAATTGAAGAAGTTTCTATGACTTTCCATGATCTTAGTAATAATAATAATCCTTACATTTTATATAGCGCCTTATCAGGTCTTCAAGACATCTCAAAACGCTTCACAGAATATAGTGTAAAGTGAATTGACTGTACATTTTGTGGGCGAAACGCGGCAGCCAATTGCGCACAGCAGTGTCCCACAAACAGTGGTGGATTGAAGTGATCAATTTATTATTATTATTATTTTAACGAATTATTACCCCTAGAAAAGCAATCTGCCAATCGACTAACAACCGGGTTCCTGCCTACTGCTAGGTAAACGGAGGTGTGTGGAGTAAGGAAACTTGGCCAACATTTCACCCTGCCGGAAATCAAACCCAGGTCTCTCGCTTGCGAGGCAAGTCCTCTAACTACTGAGCTACAGATCCTAAAATGCCACATCCTAAAATTTAAGACACATTGTTCTTCCAGGAATTTTACTGTGTAGACTTTTAGGCCCAAGGTTAGAATATTTTAACAACAATTGGAGGATTACTCTTCCTGTGTCAGGATCAAATAAGAATAATAATCCTTCCATTTGATATTATTATTTTTTCATGGGATTATAAACCCCAGAAAGCAATCCACCAATCGATTAACAACCAGGTTCCTACCTACTGCTAGGTAAACAGGCGTGTGGAGTAAGGAAACTTGCGTAAGGTTTCGCCCCACCGGAAATCTTATCCAAGTGCTCTCACATGCTCTAACCAATAAGCTACAGAACAAGTACTCACAAGTAAAAGGCAGCAAAATCAGTTTCACAGCAAAGATCACTCTTCTAATCCTATTTGAGTAAGATTGCCAATTTAATGCCAAACTAAAAGTGCTGGATTTCAATTTTTAATTTGTTCCTGTCCCGCCCATTGTCTGTTGTGGTCTGTGCGCAATCACAAACATAATACTGTGGCAGTAACATGCATTTAAAAATGACTGCACAAATGCCTCAGTTTATGGAATGCATAACTTGTGGTAATGTTTAAAGCAACTTGATGCTCAACAAACAAAGAAAAATCACAAACCCCAGTTATTACCTTAATCATTAAAATCAATCTGACCACAAAAAGAGGGAGATTAGGGAAAAGAGGACTCTAAGGAGAATTAGTCATAAAGAAGATATCACATATATCACATTTAGGGAGAGGCCCGAAGGAAAGAATTGCTTTGGTAACATAGTGGATGAAGTAATAGTAAATTTCAAAATGCTTTTCTTAGTAGCAAATCGTCCAAACTAAAAATACAGTTAGCAACAGATATTTTTGTTCAAACTGGCACAGCCATTCACAGTTAACAAAGGAACTTTATATTAAAAAATTCATAAATATCACCATAATTGTGGCAGACTCCATAGTTGTTCTTTTTATAATTGAATTCTTGAATCAGAGCTCTTTCCTCTTTACATCCATTATTTCAAATGTACCATTTGTGTCAGATCAAAGCCAAGACCAGACTGGACAATGTGCTTACCGAAATATGTATTTCAGCACTTCCTTTTTAATGAGAAGTGGATGGAGAGTGTCTCTTACAAAGTGAAGGATTCATCAACTGCATATGATTGTCTTCCAGACCCATAAATCGTAAAAGTAATATTGAAATTAAATTAGTTTCAAACATTTAAAGGGTGCACTTTAATTACCATATGATTCCTAAAGATTCTAATGTATTTTTACACTTAATGCTGTCTCTTGTCACCATTATTACCTATTCGTATTCTCTAGTGCTCTATTCAAACTGCAAAGCATGTGTTGATTCAAAGCTGCTTTTGCAGTCAATCAACACCAACTGTAGGGTGTAAATGGGGCACTAGATAATTCACCTTGGAATTGCAGTACAGTGTAAATCAGATTTAAAAGACATTAATTCCATTGTCAGCCTTGTTCCTGAAACCAACTCCAGGAGATGATCCCCAGGTGGAGT